GTTGAAGGACGGATTAGGGGTCGTTTAGTGATAAGATTTGAAAGGATTGTTTAAGGGCATACTGTTTCACTTCACACATGGATGTCCTTTGTAGCTATATATAAAAGAGATCTTAGCGATCAGTAACTTTAAACTAAAACGCAATAAGTAATTTAATATTAGGTTAACAAATTGTGGTAATACAACATTGGTCGAGCGCGTAAACGCATCGTAGTCACTCGCCGTTTATGTAGACGAGCAAATGACCGCAATCAAATCACAATCAGAGTGAAAGCCTATAAATGGGCAGGTTGAGATCGCAGCACTCCCGCACCGACGCCTCTGCTGTTTACAAATGCGTTAGATGTAATTATAGGAGAGATGTGTGCATCACTCACGATCACGACTCGCCGAGCGCCATAACGCTGTACCAATAACAAGTACTTACGACCATCAAACCCTGTGATGTGTTAAAATCGTCAAATATACCGACACTACCTATAAAAATGCTTTCCAACGTTATACATCAGGGTTGAACAAAAGACTTTGAAAAGAGTTATTAAACAAATATGCGAGTAGGTACCTAAGCATGCAAAAACCGTTGAATAGAAAATTCTGACCTCGCTTTACTATACCTACCCCTCTGCCCAGCGATTTGTTGAGACTTTAACAAACAATAATTATGGAACCCACAAAGTCCACAATACACCACTGAGACGTATTTTGATGAAAATAAATGAAGGGGGAGAGCAAATTTGATTAACTCACCAGCAGGCCCTAGACCTTTGAAAGAAAAAGAAAATTGCGAGTGGAACACACGATATTATTAGATTCTCATTGTAAATATATACAAAACAAGGTTTTGCATTATTGTGAACATAGAAGTATTTCTCTCAAACAAAAGGAAATGTTGTGTACAAAAGCCAACCAAAAAAAAAACAGAATCCCTTTCACATGACCTTAGCCACTGTTTGTGCATTGTTCCTATTAAAACAGTTAGCGCTAATTAACATCCGAGATGCATCCTCATAAAAGGACTGTGGAAAGCAAAAAATACGAGAGCAGATGTGGTGATCATGGCTTTGGGGTCGACCATAGGAAGTGCGCATACGTAATTGCGGCGAGTGGTCACAATGAGGGGAATTGGCCAGTAATAGCCAGTGTGATTGTTGTGCGAGCGACGCCCGCACCCATCCCATTGATGGAATGACGACTGAATTTCACAAACAACACATCTCAAACGGTCCGTGACCGGTCCGCGACTAACTTTATTGCTATTGCTATCCATTCATCACTGATCATCAAAATAATATGCAAGTACCTCTTGCAGTGCTGTCACCTACAAACACACTGATCAAACCATGAAATCTTTTATAGTAATTTTGGAGCGAAACATATGGCAAGTATGAGCTAAATCAGACTAGGCCGGTTTAAATAGTCTCCCGACGCCCAGACCCCTGTCCGGATGTGCCAATTTCTAACGGACGCCGACGACGGCGCGCCTGACGTACGTCACACCAGCTATCATATTCAATTATCGATTCGACTTGACACAGTATTGCACTACCGTAAACCCCTAACTTAAACTCGATATTCAGCATACCCGGTGCATACCTACACCTATTCTTGGAACCTCATTTTGGGAAGCGGCGCCTGAATATGATTATCCGCTTTAAACGAACAAGTAACAAAATTATGTAATATTTGCTTAGATTGAATTTACTTGGTAAACCTCGATGAAAGATATTAAAAAAATCCGTAACAGATATTTTTATAATAATATTATTCTCATTGTAACTGAACATCGAAACACTAATCAATACGTCATAGACTAAGTACATTACGTCTCGCTGTGGACGTCAGAAGTCGTAACATGAATTTTGTGAATGACTAAATGACGGCATCGCATTGGCAGATCAAACCGAAATGAACTGAGTACAAATAAAAGTGAGTGACCGACCGCGCGGACAGGCCTTTTGATAAACCATGTTCTATCAAATGATGTTTAAAAACGGTTAAAATAAAATTCGCTTATAGTGTAGAAACAAGTGCATTCATTACAAGGAAAACTGATGATAGTGTCACTTTTATAAAAGCTCATAGTACTTTTATTTTATTAAAATGTAACTAGGTTGCCTAGGTGCGTCCTGGTAATTGATAACTCTTGGGACTGAACGTTCCTTCTTCGTTGCATTCCGTCATCCCTCTTGCGGGATTAAAATGCCACCCTAGCTCAAGCGCACCTGTGCGGCCGAGGCGCTTTATTACTTGAAAAATATAACACCGATTTACAATAACTAAAACAATTCTCACAATATTTTAAATACCTATTTCGGAAAACATTCTTCGAATAAAGGGGTCAGTCATATTTTTCACTTGAATAATTTTTGCAAAATCAATGCAGGTCTCTCTCCAAGGTAAAAGTGAATGAGGGTTCTGAAAACACTTCAAAGTGTTTGTCGATTGCTGGTTCAAAGAGAAGCGTTGCTGTTGGGTGAGAGTAGAATTAATTTGCCAATAGAGCACGCTTTTCAGTAGACAAAGGTGCTTTGACGAGGCACCCTCGAGTACTTCGTCGCGAACCGACCTGTGGTGTGAGTCGTTGCACGAAATTGTTTCACCGAAGCTTTTACTCAGTTTGTCATAAATACGACGCTTCGAATATTTTAAATTACTTTACAAACTGTAAACATTATAAAGAATACGATGTACTATTCTCACAAGCAAGCAAAAAATACCTGCATGCTCACGATTATATAATTGAAACAACTATCCACGTAATAATGATAATGATTAGATTCCTGGCGAGGTTCGGGGTGATCCCGCGCCCGCGGCTTGGATCGGCCACCCACCTAGGATGCGCCTCATGTTGTAATTAAACAAAACCCTTTCCGATGTATTTCAATAACGGCCGATAGAATTTGTGCCAGGTTTTATGGTTCGATGTTCCACTTTGATTTATATCAGATGATTGATTTAGTGTAAGCTTTTTCTGTGTAGCCTAATGATGACAAGCTATAGTTTGTAACAATTAGAAAAGACTAACGATTTTTTAGGTTCTCACTCGTACAAACCACCTATAATATTTTTCTTTTTTATGTTTTGGAAGGAATTTTATGTATTTATGTAAATTTATATGTAATTAGTCTACAGTTTTTTAAAAACAAAACACATTAATAGTGGATTCCACATCTCAGGTAATTGTCACGAATTACGATGCGTAGAATTGGAGGCCTGAAGCGGAGCGGAGCGGTGGGGCCGTGCGACAGGTCCCCGATTATCCACGCATTCAGCACGGTAGCTCCCGTGGTCACAATGCAACCTGCTACCATTCCACCTGACAACCATTGTGCCTAATGGGAATTCCACGCGCTCCGGACACTCGTGCCATCGCTAATTTACGAGTGATGAAGTGACGTTGGTGCTTTATTTATAGAATCTAATCTATCTAGAATTCCAGAGGCCTATATCACTCAAGCTTAGTTTTACGGTTTTTATTGGAAACATGGCAATAGGCAACTACACATTAACTAGTTAAGAAATTACACTTTAAACAAATTTCTTTGACTTTATTTATCAAAATATTCCCAGAACTCCTCATTTGTCAAAGATTTTATTTGTTCTCTGCTGTTCAGAGAACATGTGCAACGCCATAAAACAAACAATACAAACTCGGATCTACGTATTTCTTCATTAAAACGGAGGCAACAAAACATGAAACTAAAACTTATATGACTTAACTTTAAGACAAGTCGGAAAATAATAATACGAATGCAACAAAGGAATGAATTCTATAAAATGGAACAAGAATATATAAAAAAAATTAGAAGCAGTAATTGAATTCAAATCGCTTATTATTAGGTAGCAACAATTAGGTAAAACGGCATTTCCTGAGGATAGACACGTTTCGGCAGAGTAAACAATTAGTTAGTCGTGCTGGGAGCGTCGGAGGCTGTCGGTGGCTCGTGAGTGCTCGTGACCGGGTTGGACCGCGGGACCTGACCACGACGTCATGCTCCGCTGCGCCATTCGATCCGACAGGTGCATGCGGCACGTACACCATATTTACTACATTAACGATTGAACATAGCAAAAATAGTGTTATCATTAATTTATTGCTCATCGTTATGAATTTTTAAACCTCCTGCCAGTCGACTAAGCCTTATAAAACTAATTTTCTGAAGCCAGCTTATGAAGTTGTTTCATATTCATTCATTTTGTCACTGAATATTCGAAAAACAAAATTAATCAAAGAGACATCTTGAGAAACAAAAGCTTTGTTAAAAGCAACAAGATAAGTAACATGTAATTAAACATCGCCATTAGTAGATGAAAATAAAACGTTAACACGATTTTAAAGTCGTGTTGTAGACTGTGTAACTTAGAAATACACATCCCGTATTCGGCCCACCCCATTCCTTCCCTATCATTATCTCAATTTGCCCTTGATAGAGACATTGGAGAGATGGATGGATGAGTAAAAAATAAAGGACTGTGACGAAAAAATATTAAATTGCCTTGCACCTTTTTCTTTTTGAAGACGATTAGATTATTTTTGAAATTGTTGAATATTCTCGTAGTAACATTTTTTCTGATTTCAAGTAAGAAAGATGTTCACAGTAATAATTTAATATTATCCGTGACAATGACGTTAAGTGAATTTGTGTGTAGGGTAAATATTGAAGTACCTATCTTATGTAGAAATGTTGATGTAGAGACCACATGTAGAGAACTCGCGTAACCAGTAAATACGACATGGTCGATGATTTAGCAGTTAAACAGAAATGAATTAAATATTTTCATTCTGATTGTTTTTGGTAACTACGAAGTACCTTTATTTACAATACAAATTTTGGTTCGCTTGACGAGGTTAAAAGTTGTTGTAATAGCGCAATTTATTCTATTGTACCTACTTGTACTCCACATTTTTTGATACCAACAGAGAGGAGCTGATTTTTTCAACATCTAACATGCTGTTATGTACTGTACTGTATGTTACTATGTCATGTTTACTTAAAATATTAAAACTTACCTCCATTTCCCGCGTTTGTGATGGTCACCCAAAAATCAATGGTCTTCTCAGGTCCGAGTTCCTCATAGTCCCACTTCTTTTTAACTTTCACTACACCACTTGGTTCAACGGTAACCCACGGATTTTCGTCCCTAATTTTAAAAGTCTCGCGGTCAGTTTCTTTTTCTAACGTAAAAACAGCACGTCCCTCTACTTCACCATCTGCTTCAGTGAATTCAATTCTCTTGGTTGGCCTAACTGCTCTTGTTACACGACGCTTTTCACGATGTAGAACTGGTAAATCTCTTTGATCACGAACAATAAACCCAAGGAAAACTTTTGCCGGGCGACTTTTAAGCTGTGGAATGCCTGTGTCATGAGCAATCACACTCAACTCCGCTTCACGAGTATCAGGTTCACCTGCTAATATAAGTTCTCCAGTCTGAGGTACTATTACTACCAAATTACTAGGTGTTTGTAATGAATAGTATACCCGATCATTGTCGGCATCAGTAGCTTGAACTTGACCGATATTTGAAAATCTTGGCCAGTGTGCAGTCCCATTTGGACCATTTTCATCAGTAGTTCCATTCACAATAAAGTAGTAAACATCTTGCTCAAAACGTGGCTCATGGTCATTTTCGTTAGCTACGTCTACCCTAACTGGAAGACTGGCCTTATTTACGCCATGGAGGTCCGTAGCTTGAATGACAAGCTCATACCAGCTTTTTGTCTCAGTATCTAATGGTTTATTAGCTACGATTTCTACATCACCGTCCGTTACAACTGACTTCACTTCTGTATTCGTGTCTGTTTTTCCTTTCTGTCTTAAAGAAAATACAGAATTTTCATTTCCTTTGATGATTTTATATGCTAATGGACCCACATCGACAAGAGCCGTTGCCCTAATAGGTGGGAGATCAACTGTAGTGCCTGGTGGAGCATTTTCAGGGATTCCTCCTATTAATAAGCCCGAAGTAAACTGTAACATTTGACGTCGGTCCATAACTAGGAGATGAATGGCATGAGCTGCACTACTATAAGGAGTTTGCTCAAGTATGGCCAAATTGACAGGTTGATTGAGTAGCGGTGTTAGATCAGCTGTAGTCATAAGTAGGCCGTCATCGAGCAGAGTAAAGTAGGGCGCGTACTCTGGGTCTAGAAGCGTGTATCTTGAGTGGTTGCCTACAAAATGTCTGACGGCATGGCCAGGACGCACGTCGTGCGGCAGTAAGGTAAGCGCGCGCGTCTGTAACACGACGCTGAGCGCGCAAAGCAGCACGCCGCCTCCCAGCACAGTGCGCGCCATAGCTCTCACGGGTGTTACCGTCAACTATCCCAACATTTCACACCTACAACAAATATTTGATTTATCAATTACACCTTAGCCATCTGGTAAAGACATGCATGCATGATTAAATAGTATGGGGACTTGTTTGTACATCTAGCTCGTCATTTGCACAAAATTATATTGGTGCAGAAGGACCGACAACATATTCATTCGTAAAATTAAATTACGAGTATCTATTAATTTACACATAAGAGAAGGAGAAGAAACATTTTGAATAGGTCACAATTAAAAAACAAAATTTAGTCACTACAAGCTAAAGACATTTTCTATCTAGTAGGTACATTCAAACCACAGTTTCTCGTATCTTTCATTGAAAGAATGAATAACAAACGTTATTCTCTACACATACTCCCTATCGTAAGGGCATAGACATTAATTCCCTATACCGAGGAGATGTTAAGATTTTTACATGTTAGCACTAAACACCTCCAGTCCCTAACACAATAATCACCTCACTTAGATCTCTAATTCAATAAATTAATATGAGTAAGTAGAAGTAGATACCTAAGACATATCTATAATTTACACATAAAATGTCAATTATTTTGGTACAGGTACACTGAAGTTAGGTAGGTGAATGACATGAGGTTAAGTTAACCAAAATTTTATGGATCAATAACTTTAGCCAAAGACTGCAAATCTTCAATACGCAGGGTGATCCTAGTACACAATTTTAATAGAATGTTTAAATCATTCTTATAATATTTAAAAAACATTTCATGTTGGATCGATATCAAGAAAAGCATTCACCTCTACCTTAGAAAACTTGACAAAAGTAAATACGCACTCATAAATAATTAAGGATAAATTTTCTAAATTCGCTCTCAAATCTCTTTTATAGCTCTGTAAGTCTATGCAGATTTTTGTGCAATTGAATCTGAATCGAATGCATGAATCATGTGATAGTGTGTTGTTAGCGGGCTAGTGCATGTACGCGACGTCGGTGCGAAGACGTCGCCGTCGGCGGCGACGGCGGGCGGCATCGACGTAGGGCGGCGAGGCGGGGCGCACACATGCGGAGCTTTATTTAGGCGGCGGGCGAACGCCGGCGTCTCGCGACCCACCGCCGCCGCCGATCAATACCCTCGCTGCGCCGTCGCGCGACGCTCACCGAGCGAATCTCAACTCTACACGCGCTCCCGTTCACGACACACCATCAAAAATTCACACACTCATTTTACTGAATAAAAGCATCCACTATTTCCACGAAACTTCACAAATCTCCAAACGATTTATGAAAAGAACCGCTGAAAACATCACATCAATGCACTAGGTATTCAGATTCCGATGTATGAGTGGCTGTAGTCCATCAATTTTATAGCATTTATACTAGTTGAGAAAAACACTGCACTTTTTAATTGATAACTATTAATATAATATGTGTCGCTTATCAGAAACTAACTGAACGTATCGTGTAAACATGTGGTTTGAATGTAAACAATTATATCAAAACCATAGAATTTAATAATATCACTCCCGATTTACAATTAAACTGATAATAATAAGTAATTTTGGGTAATTCCACAAAATAATATTGGTACGTACTTTATGAAAAACGTGAGAATTTTATATCGATATCGTAGCGTTTGACAGATGCGCGCCGATAAACGAGACACGGACCGAGCGCAACGACGTCGAAATGCGACTGGTTGATGGCGGAGCTCGGCGCGCGCGCGTATCGAGCGCCCTCCGCCCGACCCCGCCACCCTCGCTTCTACAACCCCTGATTGTCCCGCCCGGCTACTGAAGCTTTTTGGTTCTTAGCTTTTACCCCTCCGCAGCTCCGCGTGGTTCGCTCGCTATTACGACCATTACTGCATGCACTAACGCGGTTAATTCCTCTTGAATTCTTTTATTATTACGAGTTCAATTTGCAACTCAAAGGTTAGTTGGGTACTTGGGTAGTGGTCTTAAAAAATATTTTTAATGAATTGGAATCTTATAGATTTGTGCATTTTGTATGTTTGAAAGGATTAATAATGTATTAAACCCTTTTATTTTATAATTCTTCAATGTCATGAGTCCCCTAATCTAGGGGCCTCCTGGGTATGGCGCTTCTGTCAGATTCGGCAGGTATCGGTAGGTATCTTCCTTATTATAGGTATACTTAGTTGTGGTATGCATCTAAAATTAAGTACTTCGGTACCTAATTAAACCCTTCTAGTAAGTACTTACATACATTACTTACATTTCGTTTTATTTTAAATTATCCAGATAGTGATAGGTACCTACCCAATACAAACACCTACCTAGTACAAACACGGAAATGCATCTGTATGGTATTTACAATTTGATTTTTTTTTAAGTATCTATCTGTCATTCGTTTGTAGTTAATGGATAAGTAGGTACCTATCTCAACACCACAAAAATACTTAAGGCAAAACTAATAGAAGGTAGATAATAGGTGGGTATTTTTTATTTTCGAAAAGTTTCTTATTTCTTCACCTTCTTCTTACTAGATTCACACATTCACGATCCACGTTAGTTGGCAAACTCCTGGGTTTTCGCGTATCACTTAAGTAATAAAAAGTATGAATCGGTTTCAAGCACTAAGGGTTCCGTACCAAAATCGTATTTATTGTGTAGGAACCTCCTTCAACAGTTATTTTATTATGTTAATAGTAGGTACTTATTCTTTGTTATAGTGACAACTGAAATAGATCATCTGATCTGTACACAACCGTCTAGCTATTACAGTTCATAAGATGCAGCCTAGTGTTCAGGTACGGAACAAAAAAAAACTGAAAGTTTGATAGTAGGTGAAACAGACAAATTTAAAAAATACTAAAAATACTCTAAGACTTTTATATGTGTCTGTGTTATTATGTGTACCTACTACCTAATAAGTGCGGTTACAAATATTTATTTTTGCAAATAATCATCCCCTTTCTTGTCAAGCGCTTGACCTTAGGCTTCAAAAAATAGGTAGGTATTAATTCCTCCATGGGTGGGGTAAGCGGGAGTGACAGTCTCTTTTTTTTACTTGCTATAAATTAGTGCTTGACTGCGACCCCACCTGATGGTAAGCAGTGATGCAATCGTTGATGGTAAGGCGCACTAGTTTATTAAGAGCCTATTCACTCTAGCCTTGAAGACACCTAAATTGTATTCGGACGGAAAGACTGCAGCCGGCAAACTGTTCCAATCCCTCGATGTGCCAACAAACGGCCCTTTTCCTTGGCCTGCTACGAGCTGGGTAGCAGTATGACATTGCGCTTTACCCAGGGTATAGTGAGTCCCATTCCCATATGTGGAGGACTGATTGAGGTTCGAGACGCGCCGTACGCTCGGGTCTGGATTTGGTCAGGAGACAAGCTACCGTCCACAGATAGTCGATCAGATTTTAACTTTTCTAGTGTCGTGGGTGCCGAAGGGCAACGATGGCGATCAGGACTACCTGTCTAGGTACTCTTATAAAACTGTATATAAAGTAAAAAATCTAAAATATAATAGGTAGTCATTTATTTCTGAGTTATTCCTGAATTTTTATATTATTCCTATTATTTCTGATTTATACCTATATGGTATACCTACATCGAGATCTTAATATGTTTAAACAAGTAGGTAAGTCTTGTACCTATATTTTCACTTACACTACCATCGTCGGTGTAGAAATATTGAGTTTATCTGAATAAAATAATATTTTGGTATTAAATTCTCAACCATAATTCATATCTAATATATATTAATCTAAATTAGAATTAGAATAGATAGGTATATACTTATTTTTAAAGTACCTAAGTATTAATTAGAAGGTAGGTACGAACTAAACAATATTTTTTTAACAAATTCTGATGCGCTACACAATTACAAATGTATGGTATACGTTCACTTACATTATTTTATGTAATATGTCGACAAACGAGCTGACGGATTACGTGATGGTAAGCAATCAGAGCCTCCCATGGACACCCGCAGCGAAGGAGTTACGGGTGCTTTGTCGACCTTTTAGGGATTAAGGTTCTGGAGATTAAGAGATTGGAGAGGGATCGGGGGAGAGGAAATATTGAGCCTCTGGTCATCTCAGCCATACGGCGAAACACAACGCTGTGGTTATTTCACGCCGGTTTTCTGCGAGGCCGTGGTATCACTCTGGTCGAGCCGACCCATTCGTGCCGAAGCTTGGCTCTCCTACACTTACCTAGTTTCTAGCAGCAAGACTCCTAAGGGTAACTGTTTTCATTTCTGCATAGTATTTCTCGAGAAATGGATTTAGAAATCGACTGAATGCGGAATTAGGTACTCGAGGTTATCAAAGTTGCAACTATAGGTAAACGTCAGCATTGATGTGCAGTAACCGCTACTTATTACCTACTTACCCTTTCATCATTCACATTATGTGTTATAGTAAGGTAACCAGTTGCTGTGTCATGTGTCTTAACATGACACGGGCTCGCGTTTCTGACTGAATTATTTAAGTACCTAATTAGGTACCACTGTTAACCTGAAGTCAAAAAGTTTCTTGAAAAGTAGGTAGGTACATGTGCCATTAATCCTACGGCTGACTTCTCTCGCGTCTTTTCGGTCTACCGTCCAATCCGATACAAAGGGTACCTATCTAGGTACCTACCTGTAGGTATTTGTGACCACACTTGTACAAGTTGTACAGTATTGATGTGTTCTGTATAGTTAGCTGGTCTAGTCGTAGACTGGACACCAAGATCGAAACCAGTATCGTATCAATCAGGCTTTATCGTTTTTATTCCTAAATATTTAAGATTTTACCACTTTTGGTAATTTTCTGTGTGGCAACTTACCTACCTTTTACCTAGCCTAAGTATATTATACCTACTTTGCTCGTTCAGATCATTGATTCCGAGACCTTGTGCAAGGCAGTTGCAGTCGTGGCCACTCGACTAATTGGGCAGTCACTTTGAAGCGGCGATCAGATTTATCAATTATCTATATCACGATTTATCGGTTCCTAGGGACACTAACAACCTAACAGCGATCATACCTACCGTCCAATCAATCGGAACTAATGAATCGGCAACGATGAATCGTGCCGTGCGTCTGATCAGTGCTTAACTTTTGCTAGGTTTTCTTTGAGGGGGAATATCATGAAATACCTCCTCTCCTCCCTCTGCACTAGTAGGCATAGTGGCAGATACCTAGAGAACTTAGTCTTCCACTTCCATATGAGGTACGTTTTCATTTTTCTCGTGAGAAGCTATAATAGCAATGGGACTCCTAGTCACAATCAAAATTTTCTCAAAGTGTTTTTGGTTGAATTAGATTCAAGTGTGGAAGAGCCAAGCTCCAGCACGAATGGGTCAGATAGACTGGAGTCAGAGAACACAGTGGAACAGTGTTGTGTTTCGCCATGTGATGAGGTTACCGGAAGCCCAATCCTTCCCCTTCACTATCAAAAAGTCCAGCAACGCACTAGTGGTGATACCGACTTCTTACCATCAGGTAATCTGCATGCTCGTTTTCCGATCGATAACATTAAAAAAAACTGTAGATACCTTGATCAATAGGCACTTGTTGGGTGAAAAAATGTTAAAGAATTCTAGTATTTATAAACCCCATTGCTACATGTTTACATGGTAAACTTGGCAACTCTGCAGGCTGAAAGGTACTAACAAAATAAGTTTCAATATCACTGATTTTCATAAAAAAGCTTTTTTAACTGCTTCAATATCATACAAGACTTTCAGACTCACAAAATAAAACAAAGTAAATAATAGAAACAATTATTATATTAAAACAGTAATTTACAGACTAGTATAAAAAATAGCCAAAGCTAGCACTGAGCAATGTCATTTGTGACTTTGAATAATAAAAATAGTAAATAATATTTTATTATTTGTATCCATATAAGTAATAGCTGTTATACATATAAACTCTATAAGACAGTTCTAGGCGATTGCACTGTGTGCTTAAGATTTTGTAACTTAGTTACCATAAGACTAAAACTAGATATGATGGGTAAACTGCTTGGGGGCAACACTATCATTTGTGTTCTTGTATCTGATCTCTTTAATTGTCAATTGTTTCCCTTGATGTATTCTTTGCAGGTGACTCCTCATATCGTATGAACGTGAAAATGATCGGTGACAAACAGGGCATTGTGTCTTTCCGGCATGTGAATCCTTGTGCAAAGTCAGCGAAGTTGGGTGCTTGAAACCTTTTGGGCACAGTTGGCATCGAAATTTCGCAAGATCTGATTCTGAAACATCAATATA